ACTGATCCATGTCACTGATATGTCCCACGAACACCCGCACTGGCAAAAATAAAGCGGTGTAAACCAGGCAAGGGGCAAGAAACAGCAAGGCAGGATTAGAGAACAAGCATTTTTGTAAAGTCGGCGTTACCTCAAAGAAAAATGAAGTTCCAATTAACAGTGCATAACTTAAAGATTATCTGCAATTTAGGGATTGGCAACTAATTAATCTCAGCCTCCAGGAGAAAAAGAAAAGAAACATGCTCTTACCTTGTCTCTAAAGCTACCTCTTGATTTAATGTTTCTAAGATGAACATGTCAAGAGTATTTTTCACCCTATCCTGAAGTCCTACTTTGGCCAGCTTTTCTGCATTTCCATGAACAGTTCAGCAGTTGGTACTACTCCATGACACTGCTGGCCCATGTGCTTTGGCATGTGCATGGATAATCTGCAATATGTCACAGCACAGTTGTGTTTTAAGGTCATTTAATTTGAAGCTCTTTTGTAGGGCATTTGGGAGCTTTGTCCTTCAACTCATAAAATAAAAATAAATGTGTTAATGAAAAACAGCCCATCAGAATAATGTTGTTTCACCTGGAAACTTATGCAGAAATCTAGATCCAGACCATGAGATAAGGGATCAATTGATCCAGTACAGCAGAACTAGGGCATTTTTTCCTGGATTTGACTATCTTACGTTGGTAAAAAACTTACACGATGCAACAGACATTTTCTGTTTCAAGAAATTGTATATTTTTTTAATTACAATTTTCCTCCTTTTTTTTTTTTCTATTTTTTTCTATCCCAGCTACCATGATTGACATGGTAAATAAATCACATTAGACAGTAATATATGTGGTTGAGATATGTGGCAGTGTTTTGCTTTTATTTCAGGAATTACAATGCTAGAACATCCAGGAAAACAGCTCACACAAGAACAGTCAGTGGTTTGGAGATGCTGGAACTAACACATCACAATTAACAGTCAGCTTCCTATGTTTAGAAAGAATTCTGGTGTTTTGGACACAACTGGATCATGGAGAAAAGTTACCTACATCCCATGTGCAAAACTTAAGTTACACCACAAGAACAATTATGAAATAAAAAAAGAATTGTTCATTCAGCAGAAGAGACATCATCATCACCAAAATAAGCCAGGCAAATAATTAAAATAGAAGTAAATATGACTTCAGCTTAAAGATGCTTTTCAATAATTAAAATTTCACTTCCTAAGGAGAACTATTTTCTGAAAATCTATACTAAAATAATGATAATTCCAATGTTGAATTCACATAATACTAAATTGTAAACCATAGAAAAATACTACTTTTGTTGTCATATAAGTTTGTAACTTGCAAACAAGTATTCTCTGTGTGTACAAATGGCAATGAAATCTTACATCAATGTAGTTTGAAAAATAATTCAAGTGCATTCTAAGAATGGATCATTAGTTGGTTTAAATAGCTTCTATCATTGATTTATAAACTAGATGATTTTGGAGATTCTCTTTCATACTCAAAAACATTCACGAGTACTGTTTTAGGAATGATTGGGGGGGGGAAGAGACAAGAGTTATTAAATGCTAAGGTTTGTCAATAACACACTTGTTACAGACATACCACAGTTTGTTTTTTTTTCTACTTACTATTAGTTTTAAGTGCTCATTTTTTCAGCTGAGACTGTTCTATTCTTGTGATAATCCAGAAACAACACCATCTCTATTATGAACACACCTCAGGGGGCAGGGGGAAGCTGACAGCTTTTTTAATAGAAAAAAACAATCCTGAGGCATGAAGATTCTATTCTGCTGCTCACAACATTGAAAATATTAAGCAAACCATTAAGACACTGGAACATTGTTTCAGTTTCTGAATTTTGAGCTAAATAGAGAGGTTGGAGGTACACACAAAGGGACGTGAAGATTTACATACACAAACGCTTGGAAGCACATGCCACAGCAAAGTGGGGTTGATCTCATGCAAATAACTCCATGGAATTCCATAGGTCTTTCCAAATCTTGTACCAGTATAACATTCTAACACAAGGGTCTAGAGAATGAAGTCATGCTGAATTACAAGAAGTTTTGTTGGCTTCCCCCATCCCACCCCAACAGTTTACAGAAAGTAAAAGGCTACATAATCACAACCTGCTATTTTCCCCCTTCTTTGTCCCAGTTTTGTCCTAAAAAAAAAATCAAGATCTAAGTTCATATTAAATTTCTTGCAACATGATATTTTGCTTTCAGGTGTTCTCCCCTCTCCTTAGCCTTCCCCTGCTTTCAAGATGCATCTCCAAGCTCCTAATACTCCAGTAAAGACCTTTAACCAATGTTAGTCACCTTAGATTAAACAGCATAACATCTTCCGCTCCGCGTACTGTGTAAGAAGCATTATGCTGATTGCTGATCCTTCCAGTTCCTTGTTTTTTCTAATTTTTTAGGGGATTCACGTCAGCTATGATCTATTCATTATTATATGTTTGAATTTCTAGCCAAAAGGGACAAAATTATAGTACAATACTGCCATCTTGAGCCTACTGGGGAAGAACCAATCAACTAACAAAAAAAACCAAGAACAACAAACAACAAACCCCAAACCCAGTAGAATTTAGGTCATAATCCTGCAAACATGTACTCACTCAAAAACAACTCAATAGTACTAGTCTGAACTTAAGAAATAACTTGCGAAATTAAACTAAGTAAAACTTCATAAAAACAAACAAATTCTCACTTTATTTCAAAGAGTTCCTTCGTCAAAGGAAGTGGACATGTAAATAACCACTTCTTAGGAACAATTTCCCTTTTCTCTTCATTTAGCCCTCCTTCTTCACAGATTCTGGAAATCTGGAAAATATGTGTTAAGCTTCGACACTCCAAAATAGAGAAGTTGGTTTTATTTTTTCAACTTAGGATTCCTCTCCATCCAATACAGAAAGAAAACCTGAAATACATGATAAATAGGCTTTCAGATTTTTTTAAAAATTTGTTAAAACCATTTCCTGTATTTTCTTCATAAAAATTATTCAGCTTGTGTCCATGGTATTCTTGCCCAAATTTCAAGTTACTCTACATTAAATCCAGACTTCCACCCTGTATGTCTGGTGTTTATACAGTCACCTTTGCCTCAGAACAGCAAGCCAAAGATCTTAAAAATTCAAACCCCTTAATCAGAGAAATGATGACTTCTCCAACCACATAGGTATTTATCAAACAATTATGTTACTTCCCCATTTTCCATTCCCATCTTTTTAGAGTTCTTCTATTGCTGTGGTACAAAATAGGGTCAGGTCAGACTGCCAGCTCATTGTCTCACACGTAATGGTTCTAGCCAACACCCTTACTTCAGATATTTCTGTCAAGCCTCCCATCCCTTCACTATTACATCAGACCATCTTCCAGTAATTCATTCAAACTCTCTCACTCTCTGCCAATTTCTCCCTTTGCACTCTCTAAAAGAGTAATTTTGCTGTCTTGTATGCTGTTTTAGACTGAAGGAAAAATGCACTGAAAACATGGGAAAATAGTCTCATTCCTTATTTCTGTGGCACAGTAGCCAAGAGGAATGATTTCAGAGAGACACCAATAGGGTTCTGCAGCACACTAGGATTTCCAATTTTTTCAGATTCTAATCCATTAAAACTTCGTATTTATAGACCAAATATTGTGATTAAAACCTAATGATAGGCTTGAATATCAAATATATCTTGCGAGTTTCTCTGAAGCAGCTGAAGTTTCTTCCAGTGGGTCTGCAGATCACAAGAGAGACCTTTTTGAGATGGGGGGCTATTCAGTTGCTCTGTGTGTATATGTGTGGTCTGGTTGGTGCCCCAGAGATTTGAAAGAAAATGCATACACAGTTGAGACAAATCTTCAGAATACAGAACAAAACATGAAACTAAAATCATGTCTCCAACTCCAAGGGCATTCTGTTCTATTTCATGTACCCAACTCAGTTTTGAAAACAGAAGAGGCTCTCAATGAAATGTGTTCTTTAAATTGACTCTCATACCCAGATTAATAGTTTAACTGGAAACTTTACAAAAGGTCTGACCTACTGTGAATCCAAAAGAATGGAATTTTGTCTAACTTTCAAGCAACTTTTGTCAGTTTCACTAATGAACATCAGGTAATCATAACAAACTTCAATACCAGCTCCACATCTGTATTAGGCAATCATTAAAGACATGTTTTAATGTTTCTGTTTTAAAAGGCAATAAGAAAAAAAATATTTACATAATTAAATTCAATACTTAATGCTACCTTGCCCTTCCCCCAATGGCAGTGATTGCTGTCAACCCTAGAACATTGCATATTACAACATAAGCAGAGAGGACATTAGTAAGAAGAGCCTATGCTTTGTTTTTTAACCCATTATAAAACCATAACATCCTACATGGAGTTAAAAACAAATTCATTTACAGAAAATAAAATGAAAGGGTGTCCCCACAGGTAAAAAGAAATCCTTTCAATAAACACAACAAAGTTTTCAAAACATAGTTATCAAATTTTGACATAGGTCAACTGGCATGGTTCATGCCAAGAAACTCTGTGGAGAAGATGTGTAAGATGGGTAGAAAAGAGAAGAATGGGATACTTCAGCTTGTTACAGGATTAAGCTAAATGTTCAAAGCTCTCTTTATACAGAAATGGAGAAAGATTCTACAGAGCCTGATAATGAAGAGCAATTCCTAATAGCTGGCCACAGTGCACTGAATTATTTTTTTTTCTTTAGCAGTTGCTTGAGAGATACATTAGGTAATAGCACTGCCATGCTGCTGGATAATACCAGAATTGTTAAATTTATCAGTACAGCAATTTCATAGTTAAGAAAACTGCTAATAAAGATCCTAATAATCAAGAAGTTTTACCAGGAGCATATGAAGTCAAGTTACAGTGATGCCATAGATATCTCTGTGCTTTAAAATCCTTTTAGTATTTCTAGATTCATTCCACTGGGGAAAAAAATAATCAAGATAAATCAAATACATACAGAAACACACTCACTCAAATGGCACTCATTGCTTTTTGTACAATTAAGCTTTAGTGAAAATATACATCTTAAAACAAATGAAGTACAAATGTACAAAAATCCTCGAACTCAGATAAAAAATATATATAATACAATTTGCTACAGAGATATAAAACATTTAATGTTTGCTCATCCTTTCTGATGAGCATAAAATGATTTAAAGTCTGGAGGACTCCTGCTCATCATCACTGCAATCAGATTTAAAGCAGACCTGCAAGAGAAGACAAACAGACAGCTCAGCTGCAGAACTAATACTACTGTTTATTTGTGTTTTATGGGACACAGAAAGGCTGAGGGGGTGGGTGTTTTTCCAGCACATTTTATTCCATCCTAACTAAATGCTTTGGGAAACTCAAAGGAATCCACAATTTCAACCCCAAATCTCAAGTCATTAAAATTTAATTAAAGTTCTTTCCTTCTTTTAACTTCACAAGACAATTAACTGCAGTCCTATTGGTTCAAAACCAACTGAAAACTCTCAAACCATATTTTTTAGGACTTCTCAATACATGGAATCATATCCTGGGATAATTTGAATCCTGCTGATTTTTGGCTGGAAAATACTACAGTAAGACACAAGCTTTAGCTATGTGAGAATATTAGTACACTCAACTATCCCTGCTATTCCATTACTCAAAGTGGGGGAAAAGTGTACTTGAAAAGGTGAACTAAAAATGAAAGTACTATTATACATTCCATTAGCATTGTACCATTTTAGAAAGGTGAATTGCTAGCTGAAGACAAAAGATTTCTTCATGCAATTTTAATACACAGCCTTGCTGTGGCTACTTAGTGATATGCACCTAGCACTTTTAAAATTCCATTTCTGCTTGAAACCAAAAGTAATTTCTACCCAAGTGTTCATTATTGGAATATACTCAAGTTTCTCAAGATAATTCCTCTCTAAGTGCAGGCACACTGAGCAAGCAGAATTCTATATAACATCTTCAACTCAAACCTTTACAAATAGTCTACTTCTTCCATCCTGTAGACAATTACAAGACATGATGTGTCTTCTCAGTGGTAAATATTCAATCCTCTGACCAAGAAATTCTTCTACTAAAGAGTAGAAGTCTGTATGTAAGAAAAGGCTGTGCATTATCAGCTATGTAGAGATCTATCATGTCATTGTTTCAGTGAAGGCATTAAAATGCCTAAGATATTTTAACATTTGTTCTGTGATGCTTCTCATTTATTTTGGGGCTATTTCTACTTATTTACTTATTTATTGGCTAGATACTTATTTTTGCTTATAAACTTATCCATTACTAGTTTTTACACAGGGCATCAATTATCTCAGAAGACATATCCACAGTTTCCATTAAAAAAAGGCAAAATATATAAGAAGCAAGACCCAAATTAACCTCTTTAGAAAAGGAAGGTCTATAGCACAGCTTTTGAAGGAACCCACTACCTTTAACCCAGTAACTAGAGGAGAACAGAATGCTGAGGTAGGAGTTATAGGGATTGCCATAATTTCTGAAATGCGGTGGAGGGACAAAGCTGTAACCAAACAGATTTCAGTAGTTTCAGTATGAAGAGACCAACTTGGTTTTCCTATCACAAATTAATAATAATTAAAAAAAAAGAATGGAAGTTAATTTTCTTGTGAAAGAAAAGAAATGCCCTTACCTCTCCACTAAAAAGTCTGTGAAAGAAGCCTCTCTTTGGCTTAGGAGACTTCTCTCTGTCCAGTGACACAGTACCATCATTTTCATATGCATTGATATCTTCAAAGCATCCCGTTTCAATCATCTTTGAAACATATGAAATATAAATGAAATATCTATAAAAGCCTATCAAACAAGTTCCAGGCATTAGCTATTTACTCTGCCTGGATACTCCTAACACTTAAAAATTCATCAGCCAAACTACACCCCTGTCTCCAAAAGAAGGCACAAAGCTGACATTAACTCTCCTTGTGCACTCAACCAACTAAAGGATAGCAATGAGAGCACTCTCACACAGGTAAGCATCAGGTATTCCCTTGCTTTTTTTGCATTCCTGCCTTCTGCTCATAAGGCAATGGAGAGAAGCTTTTAGAACCAGAAACACATTTTCCTTTCAGGTATTCTGTTCATTCCTGAGCAGTCCAGACAAAAAAAAGGTATTAGCTCTATGCCCTGGACTGAACTTAATTAATAAACATGACACAGGAGGAAAAAAAAGATATAATGAAGATGAGTCTCTGGACAGAACCAAGGGAATTTGAAATCACCTTTGTCTGTGTACACAGAAACAAAATAATGAGTACAGAAAGGACAGCAGGAAGAGTGAATGCCAAAATGTAACCAACAGGCAGGGTCAGAAGGGGGGAAGTGGCCAATGCCCAAATCCAGGTGGCATTTACCAGTAAGTGCCATCCGTACATATCTGTCATAACAGCAGGCAGCCAAATGAATATACCTTGCAGAGGAAGAGAGGGCATAAAGAGGAATAAGAAGAAATGAAATCTTTTTTTGTAAGCCATGGCATTGGGTAAATTGTGGAATGGTGAGAGAAAGTATTGAGATGCAAAGATTTGAGGGAACAATGAAAAATTAATAATGAATTAAAAGAAAAAATAAGCACAAATGTACAATGAAATCTACAGTTCTTCCTTGAAGAAAAGGAATGGCCATCACAAGAATTCCACAACTACTTCCAACTTTATCCTTCTCTGCAGGGTTAGTTATTAGGCCACTGTGCATTTTTTAATGACTAGATCATATTCTGAAGTTCAGAATTACAACATAGTATAGGAAATACTTCTTTCTCCAAGGTTCACTGTCTCTCAGTGAAAACTTTCTATGTCAAATGACAGCTTTCCAAATATCCTTCTTAATGCAATGCAAAAAAGCAAAAGGAAAACAAAAGGGAATATACTTTTTCTTCCAAATTGTTCAGAAATTGCTTCTCTTTTCTGTTCAAGCTTTAAATAAAATGCAGTCATACTGAGAGAGAAATGACACTAGGAGAATTCAAGACAATAGTAATTTCAGAAAGTCACGAATAAATTATAATGGGGGGAAGGCATTCATAACAAATTTAAGTAATTGTTACCGAGTGCTCTTGCTGAAACAGTAAAAAGCATTTGGATTGTATGCAGAGGCAGAAGAATTCGAGTACTCTATCCAGACTACTAGAATATTCATTCACTAGGTACACAAAAAACTTTTAAGGGAAAGTCTGACTCAACTGATATTGAACTGTTTGTTTTGAAACCTTGAAAAAGATGAGTCTGCAATTCTATATTACTGTCACTTGGATACTCTATTGATACACAGGCTATACACAAACAGCTTGCACTGCACCTATTTGCTTTTGAACACTTGGAATAACATTCCATCCCTCTCCTGTGAACAGCAGTACTGACTAACATGTGACTGAAGAACAAGGAGAGGGTGGTCCTACTGATACTAATACTGTTCTGCAAGCTGTGCCTATGATGACAAGATGCCAGACTTTGCTTAGGCAAATTTGCCATAGTGTACAGTTTTTGGCGAGTTGTCTGTGTTTGCAGAATTTATTTATTTTTTTCTGAAGCCTGTCAGCAAAGAATTCTAAAGCAGAAACCTCTTTACATCTCCTAGAGAAAATCTTTAAAATTATATATTTTATTAAATATTCTATACTGCTGTAGTAAAAAAATAATCTTCTATGAAATGTACATTACCTCGTTTTGCCAAGGGATTGAGACACAACCTGTCACAAATTTGGAATAGAAGTCATCATCTGTGGTATCCAGGTTCACTCCTTTTACTGTTGAGAACTGCTCAATGTCCAGGACATCTTTACAATAAACGGCACGTGGCTGCAGTACAATACAAGATTGCTTCATTAAAGTTTTGGATATGGGGACTTTAAGTTTGGTTTTATTTTCCCTAGACAAGCAAAAGGGAGCAAAACATCTGCAATTTTACATTTCATATTGCTGATCAGCAAATTACACTATTTTATGGAACAGAAATACAAAGATTCTCTTCATAAGGCACCTCAGCAATTCTATCCATCCATCCTGCAAGTAACAGGAAAGAAATATCAAAGCCAGAAATAGCTTGTCTGGATCTCTTAATGGTTGTCATAATTCACTCATCTTCTGTCACCTTCCTTTCAACTCCAGAGTGTTTTCTTCAAAGCTATTCCTCATTTCTTCTGCATCTTAGCAATGGAAGTGGACTTTCAAGGGCTAAAAAACCAGCTACAATTTCCCTAGGGAAATACCACTATTGCAAATTGTTCTGTGATCTCAGATGAAATACCACAAAACAATTAGTTACCATCAGGAGCTACAATGGCATTCTCCTACCAGTCTAACTAACTTTAAAGGTTTTTCTTGAGTTCATATGATTGCAAACATAGAATTATGACAGTTCTTGCCTTTTTAGATACTAATCAAATCTGTCTCACCTACTTACATCTGGCAAGAATGGAGGTTCTAACATGTTAGCTTCCAGCCTCTTGAAGTTGATGTTCTTGAAAATAGGATGTTGCTTTACAACAGCAGCTCCTCCTTCAGTGCAACCCAGTCGTTCCCCTGGATTTTTAGCAAGTAACTGCAGATACATGGAAAAAAAGCTGATCCATGATACAATCCCACAAAAAAAAAAACCAAAACAAATTACATACAATGTTTTTCAATCTGTTTATTTTGCTACTTGGCCTCTTATTAGGTAAATTTGTCATGTATCAAAATTAACTGGAAACCCAAACAACTACATTCTGTGAACAAACATATTTTCAATAGACAAAAGAATCCCTGAAAGCACACAATTTGAAGATTATGCCCAAAGTTACATGAAAATATTTTAATTGATGCCATGTTGAGAAGACTTTACAATACAGACTTTGCAGTAGGCTTTCCTTTCAGGAAATACAGACTTATATTTTTTCCTATAGGCTTAAGTAATGCACATATCTTGCATGAACTAGTACAGAAAACTTGTGAAGCTTTCTGTATAAATTTAAGAACAGACAAGATAGAAAAAAAAAGCCATTGCCTTGTAGATAATGTTTTAGGTGAAGATACTGGTGTACTACTCAGCCACTTGTTCCCACACAGTATCTAAGTTGAGCATGCTATTGTACTCCACCTATAATTACAAGTGGTCCAAGCAATACTAGACTATTTCATTCATGCGATGAATAATCAATTTATGCAGCTTTTGTATTGAGAAATGTTCTGAATTCTTGAAGTTTGATAATTGAACAGTTCATGAGCAATCACAAACCTTCATGTGAACTAAAGAAAGGTTTAAGAAATCCAGTTCTGAAAAAAATTCAAGATTTTGAAATAAAGTAGTTGGTCTCTTTAAAAGGATTAGAAATTTAATTTTCAAACCTCTATGTCTCTTCACCCACCATCCTGCAGATGGATTTTGCCTCCTCTGAAAACTTGTCTGAGTATGTTTCCTGGTCTTCCTTTACTCTCCGGTCAATCTCATCCCGTTTAACTCTTTCCTTATGCTTCCTGAATGGAGACTGTCCTTCAATCATTTCATAAATCAAACAGCCAAGACCCCACCAATCTGGACTGAATGTATACTTTTCGTTTTTGAGCACTTCTGGAGCTACAAAACAAAAGCAAACACACACCCACAACGTTTCACTTTAAATTGACTAATTGCATATATTGGAAAAACTCTCAGGTACACTCTTTGGATTCTGGGCAGACATGTTTGTGTGACTCCTCTGTTCTTCAAAGAAGCTTTAATTGTGAGAAGTCTGTTTATATTCAAGAGAAAAAGTTTATTTCTTTAATGCTTAAACCCAGTATTCTTTAGAGAATGAAAAAAAAAAAAAACCAAACTGAGAATGAAGTTTTCCAAAGCATGGAAAGAAATGTACTGTCACAGTAATTTCTCTGTTTACCTGTAATCATAAATCTCTTTGAACCTCAGAAAGAATTAGGTGCTTTCTTAAAGTTCTGCCCAAACCTAGAATTTTCAGATAAGTTTTCATCAGTAGGCTTATAATTAAGTACTAACATCTACAAATGCATATAATAACCTTTCTTCTTCCCATAACATGTCTAGTAAGTAATCCAGGTTCAATACAGTTCTTATATTCACAGAAGCAAATTTTCTGGTAAAATGTAACTAGCAAAGGATGCTTTACATACCCATGTAACCAACAGTCCCAACACGTCCTCGGACAGTTTCACCTTCTGGGATCTGCACAGCTAATCCAAGATCTGAAATCCTGATATGTCCTATTTATATTAAAATAAATTACACATAGTCAGCAAAAATAATGAAGTATTATCACTCTTAAAATAAAAAATTTCTATTGCACACCTCATAAAAAAACCCACTGCAAAATATCAAAAATATTCATATAGCCATAAGTTTATTTAACTTGAGAGCATTTTATTCAGCTCCCCCTTAAAAATGTAAAGAAGGAGAGGCACAGATATAACTGATTTTCTGAAGGTTATACAAAAATAATTTGCTCTTAAGCACTGTAATTCCTAGGTTTGGCATAGGCTGCTGTTCTTGGACAAATAGAAATGCTTATTTCAGATTCTGTATCTATGCATCAGGCACTTGTGGTTTTCCATTCTGTATATCCACTACAAGCACTTAGCTTTCTGTCTTCTTAATAAAACTTCAAATTAACTTAATTTATTCCAAATGAGAAAAAACTGTAGCCGGTACTGAGAGAGCTTGCTTTCCTGTAATGAAGTACCCCAATAATGCCAAACACAAGTAATAGCTATCCCCACTTCCACCCCAAACCAAGAGCAGCACAGTCAATAACCTACTCAGAATTGTTTATATTGTAACATGTCAGTTCAATTATGGGTTTTCTTCTTGTCGTTAATCACTCCTAAGTGGATAACAGCTTCTATTGCACTTTATCAGCCAAATTTCTCAAGTTGATGACCTTCTCCTATCATGCATGGCCTTTACAGCTGTACCTCGAACACAGAAATCATCTGGCAATAGACTGGTTTGTCATGCACTGCTCAGTGGGGTGTCGCTAAAGGACACAAAATGATTTACATGAATGTCTCTCAGTGTTAGAACAGGAAAAAGTCACTTTATTTTCTGACTCCAGTATTTGTAGTTTCTTGACAATGATCAGGGACTGGACAATCAAGTTACTACTTTCCCAAGCACACTGGTCATGCAAAACATCCATCAAAAGATGTTTCTTAGAAGGAATGTGATAAACAACCCATGTTTCTAGAACTTTCATGGGAAAGTAACTAAAACTATGAGAACATTATCAGAAGGCTTTAATTTTCCAGGGCGACACTGGGGAACCAGTCCAAGCAGGGCAGTGGGAATAAATCCACCCCATCTACTCTCCCTTTACATTCCCACGGACAGATATAGTTCTTTGTTGGATAGACTCATGAACTGTTTCATGTACATTCAAGGTATTTCAAGGCAAGAATTGTATTGCCATTTTAATTTAAAAACCCATAAGGTACTTTCTTAATAAAAAAGTAGAAGTCCAGACAAGACAATTACATTTTCAATTCAATTTTAAAACAACTTGTAGAAAGATTTATTGCCAAAAAAAAGAGAAAAACCCACACAATTTTCTAATACCAGTTCTTAGGACAGGGATACTGTTTACAGAGACAGCACAGACTCACAGAATGATTCAGGCTGGAAGGGACTTTGGAAGGTATCTAGTAAAACCTGCTGAGCAAGCAGGCAGCTCAAGGTGTCCCAGGTTTTTTAAATACTTATTTAGAAAGCCTCCAAGAGTGGACACTGCATCACCTCTCTCGGTAGCCCATTCCAATGCCCAATTAGCCTTTGTGCATATATGCTGTGGCATTCAAAAAGTTCTACAGCATCAATATTAGTTAACAGCATTCTAATTTCTTATGTACATATGTTAGATAATCAGGGGATGGTGAGAGAGAGTGGAGAAAGTCAAGTACCACTCTACATTCTGGTTAGAAATAAGTAAATGCTCTGGAGCAGCAAATGCTATTTTAAATGCATTCAGATGTTCTTCTACTCCCTGACATCTGATGAACCCCTTTTCAAGTGCAAGATCTGAGCTCCTGAAGCAACTTTCTAATTAGTCCCCTGTGCTCTCTGGAACTGGATCAAAATATCCCTGGCAGAGAGGAAGCATTCTAGTGCAGTCCTGCAAGGCTACATTTTTCCTCAAAAAAACCTTCAGCTTTTCCAAGACATCGCTGGAGAGAAAAATTAAAGAATGCATTTGATGTCTAGCAAAGTTTTAGCTCTTGGAAAGTGACTTCTCTCAAGCATCATCTTTTTTGAAATTTATCAGTCAGAACATGCTGACTTTAAAAAAAAAATACTGTGGTAATGGCTTTAAAACCAGTTTTTCCTCAATGAAAATGCTCAGCTGTTACAAGAACAAACTTGTAATATTCATCCATGGCTTAGAAGAGAATTCCTGTACATGTTCCACAGTCAGTTCAAAAGATTCTGGTAATAAGTTGCATTCAAAGTCATTAAAGAAAATTAATTTGGCTTTTGACAAACAGAAGACTAGAAACATTTCTTCATACTGTTTGTACTTCCTTGATTCCTTCCAGCCACATATGCATCAGGGACCATCAGACATCTTTTAGTCAAAATGTTAAAATATAAATACTTCAGATTTCTTCTTAATATCTAAACATTCCGGTTTACTAAGTAAAATTCCCCATCTAACAAATCATGTTTCCATAGCTGACAAAAAGACAAACAAAACAAATCCATATAAAAGTTCTTGAGATTTTAAATCAAGAGGAGGGGGAAAAGGAGGAGCAAAAGTGAAAAAGTAGCCATTTGAAGTTGAAAATTGGCCCTTCAAATATAATCATGGCTGACCCCCAAAGTTTTCCCCTGCTTTCTAAAAAGCATGGCAGCATTTTCTTTGGTAAATTAATATTCATCAATTAGGTCTCTTATCATGAAGAAATCCCTTACATATCTGGCATGGTGTTAATTAGAGGTGTAATTCCTGATTTCAAAACTAATTTTAATTTTTACTTACCACAGTCATCAAGAAGTATATTCTCAGGCTTCAAGTCTCTACAAATAAAATAACAGAAATGTGAATTAGACAAAGACAAAACTATTAGCCCTCAAGTGCAACAGATTCAACAGAAGGCTTCTTGGTTCTGACTGAAGCAATTTTTCAAGTTCCACCTATAAACAAAAAAAAGCTGTGAAGCTGATGGCCTATAATGTGAATAGTTTAACCAGAGAACTCAAGTTATAATGTATATTGTTAATTTGATTTTTCTTTTTATGTTTTTTTATATATATGTGCATTTGCGGTATGTATCAGTAAGCATGTGGACTTGTCTCTTTGATCTATTCTACCATAAATATAAGCCAGAAATAGCCATGTAAAACCCAGCTAAAGAATCAGTTATTGGAGTAGATTATTAAAAACAATATGCATATATACATGTATACATACAGTTGTGACAAGAAGAAGAGACTGAATAAAAGAAAAGGTTACACAGCAGAAGTATAAAGAAAGTATTCTCAGTCCACCACTAAGTTTGTTTTGCTTGTTCTGTAATATTAATGCATAAGGGGTTAAATGATGTATGTACAGAGACAAAACAGAGCATTGAAATCATACAATCTCAATTGCAATGCATAACACTTCTGATAGTTTCATTAATTCAAAAGCAATAATAAGTTTATTGGAAGAATCTGAAATTAAAACAGAAGACTATGCCTATTCAGAAGGCTGACTATCCTGTTACCCTTGTGAGCACAGCATGCAATGCAGCCAGGGACTGCTAGAGCCCTCTGTGAACTACTTCAGAGTGGGTAGGAATACAATCCCATACTCCTAAAACTTATTTATTAAAATCATGAATTAATTTGCTTTGTAAATCATAGTTTAATTTTACAAGCAAATCTTGAATCAACTTTATACTGTTCTAAGATAATATCAAGCATCAAGATACAAATCAAGAAGCAAGAAGACATAAGGGATATATTCCTAGAGATATGCCATGAAAAGGACAACTAAACAATTTTTTTTATTCTTTTCCTACAAAATTAAAATACAAACTTGTTTTAGTAAGAAACAATACGTTCAATGCTGAAGAGATGTGGAAAAGTACAAGTAACTGTAGATAACACTCACCTGTAAACAATTCTCTCCCTTTGCAAATCCTCCAGACCACAGCACAGTTCTGCAGCATAGAAAATAGCCCTTTCTTCATCAAAGCCAGGATTTCCCATGTTATATATGTGAAACTTCAGATCCCCTCCATTCATTATGGTTAATACTAAACACAGGGCATCTTTCGTCTCATATGTATAGGATAAACTAACCTAAAAATGGGGATGGTGAGAACACAGCCATTATTCATTCATAAACCCCAAAACAATTCACAGATCTTTTTTCCAATAAAATCAACTTATGAATCCTTTTTCAAAGCAAAAAGAACTAAACATGCAAATGGAAAATCACTCTGGCAGAGTACTGGAAGGCACAAAGGAATTGAGACTAATTTGCCTGTGTACACGAACCAAACACGCAACACAAAAGCTTAGTGGCAAATCTGTTTAGATACCTGAGAGCTCCACCCAGAACATAACTTTACTGATGATGCCCCTCAGTTGCATGTTACCTGTATTACTCTTTGTCTAGATAGCATGAGCATATTCCTTATTTTATTGGTATCTCAGGAATTATGCACTGCCAAACCATCTTCCTGAACTACAAGACTCAAAACTGCCCTACAGAAACTCAATTTATTTTAAATCAAATGTATAGTTTCTATTCCTACCCCTGCCTCCCCGCCACCCCCCTCCAGTAACTGAATATTTCCCTGATTTAGAACTTGCCAACAGTAAAGACTCAGTACAACTCCTCAGAGTCTTTCTTCCCACTGTACTTGAAATGTGGTGCTAATAGGCAAAGACAAAGCACCACTTTTTTTTTTTTCAGGTTTTAGGTAAAATATTCTAAGTCCATTTAAAGTTTTAAGGTAGACTTGTGAATTAAAAAAAAGCCCTCCCCATTTAGCAAAATGGAATATACTACAAAATTTAACTGTTTAAGCAACAAATTCATTTTCAACAGAAAAGCTATGCTACGCAGATGATCATCTGGTTAGGATCTTCAAAATTACCTAACTTGTACTAAGAGCAATGGAATTCAAACATATACTTAGCTTACATTAGGTAAACAAACTAGGTAAAAAAATAATTTTTTGACTCAATATATGTATTTTAAATGCAGTACAAGTAAATAATTGCTTTAATCAATTAATAGATCCAAACGCTTCCTTCAGAAGCATAAATACTAGAAAATAAAACAAAAATAAACATAGAAATCAGCTACTCAAGATGTAGATTCCCATTTGGTGGTTTTAACCTGATGTGTCCAGCTGTCACTGTGTAACCTGTGACAGAGGCATGACAAGTTATCTACCCACTTCCAAACCAGTATTACTGCAAATGCTAGACCTAGATCTTCTCTGTTGCATAAAAAACCACCATTGGATAGCAAGAGGAAAATAACTCATGCTCATTTTTATAAAGCAATTTTAATTTCAGCTTTTGATTTGCAGTGTTTACATATGCTGAAAAAAATGTTAATCAGAAATAGAAGTTTCACTGTTTTAGTAATTTATGGATAAATTCAGGTACTCTCTGGATTCAGTTTCAATCCGTTTAAGCCCAGAATCCTTGTGCAAAAATAACATTAGCATATTTATACAAAACCATAATTTACAGTAGTTTAAAATATTAATATATCTAGCCAGCAGGTTTTTCATTTTTTTTGTAGGTGGAAGTATTCTACAGTGAGGTTTTTTTAATACATACAATATATCAGAAAATATCTACATACATATTTTTTATACGTATAAATAATAAAATATAAATAATATAAATATTTTCAACTATCCTCTAAAACAGGTACTTTAAAATCCTCCGAATAGCAATACATATAAGTATTGTATAATATAAGTAAATGGATTTCAAACCAAAGCAAAACGTACTTGAAATTAACATTTAAATGACATCTCAATTAAAAAGTAAACATTACCTGGGGTAAGTTTTACTTGGTGTATCTTTGAACGTTTTTTTCTTTCACTGCTTAGTAATTAGAGCTACTAACAGACCATAATTTACATAATAGCATCAGGTTTAGGTATTAAGACTAAGATTTCCATTACATGGAAGTTCCATAAAAAGTTAATTGTTTTACATTCAAGATACCTCTTTAAGCTTTGGTACACAGCAAAGCAATATAACCTGAATCAATACACTATTCAAATGTCATTTTTATCTTAAAATATATCAGCAACAGAGTAACAAATGCTATGAAAATACCTCAGGATATAAAAACTCAACTATTAAACAGAAGACAAAGATTCAGTAGCATCAGCATGCTGAAACACAGCCTTATTTCTGGATGTGACAAATAAAGCAGGTGGACCAAAAAAAATCCCTGAGCACAGAACTATTCCCAATTACACATAAAACATATTTGTTATTGTATCAATCATTTCTCTTTACAGTCATGCACTCCCTAAATCAATTTAAAAGAGTTTTATGCCTACAAGCTCCTGAAAGAGACTGAAATGAAGTAAACAAAATGAGATAAATTTCTGAAAATAGATTGGAAGTAGATACTTACTACAAACCTACTATTCACTTTTTCTAGAATCCTTTTTTCATTTAGAGCCATTGATTCTCCTTTCCTCTTCTTTATTCTCTTTTTTTCCAGCTTTTTGCAAGCATACATTTTTCCTGTTGCCCGTACTTGACAGGCACACACCTACAAAAAGAAGGATCGTGTGTCAGAGATGCTTCAGGCTTTTTTTAAATTTTTTTTTAAAGACTAAGTTTAACTTCTTTTCAAACTCTTTAATGGTCTCAGAAAATTACGGTCTGTAAGCATCAATACAGAGCCTTCCCTCATGAAACAACTTTAACGGTTCACAAAAACTGTAACAGAAGTAGAGAGAGTGATTATACAGAGGCAAACACATTTCTTTTGGGGTTAAAGAGTTTAGTAGAACTGTGGATCCTGTGTTAGTGAAACAAGTTACTACAGTAACACTGTTAAGTGTCTTAGTACCTGTTAAGGACACATTCACATCACAACCAAACAGGAGAACCATAATGGTAATTTAGTAGCATGCCTTCTCCTTCCATATAGGGCTCTGGTTAAAATAAGCATGGGGAGCAGTTCAATGAATTATAAACAGAATTAATAAAACCTGTAGATTTTAAATTAGGTTCATGAATATTCAACATAATAAGAAAATTGCAACTAAATGCTCATTTCCAAATGGAATTTCTAAGCAGAAGCAACTGTTATCAGCCAGTTTTCTGCAGCTTTGTGCATGACCTACAATGCTTAAACTAAGACATCAAAACCATTTGTATCAACAACAGTTTGCCAGGTGATGTGTCAAATCTAGATTGATAGAGACAAGAGTTTAAGCAGACTCTTCTTTTTCTTTTATTCCTCAAAAACTGCCTTGCAGAAATATACTTTTGCACTCACCTCTCCAAATCCACCTTTGCCTAGTACTCGGTAATGCCTAAACGTGTGTTTGGTTACTGGCTGCCTGATTAACAGAAAGAAACAATTATTGCAACAGGAATTACAAATGTTAGTAATCCCTCCCCACCCCGCGGTCTGTCTTCATTTTCTCCTTTCTGTTCTGACGTATTTCTGAACAAACGTTGCCTTAACATCATGCAGAAGTACTATAATAAGCTGAATTTCTAATGAAGGGGTGCTGTGCTAAGAAACGTGGGCTCCCTCATGTGGTCACCAGGCACTGCCAATAGCAGGAAGAAAAGCTGGTCAGCTCGGCCCTTTGCTGCCCACAGTTAGAGCCTGTGTGTTCCCATCACAGGCCATTTACCACCTCCTGTTGCCTCCCTTAATTGACACACTGGCATGCAGAGTGCACTTCAATGGGATCATGCTTACAATGTGGCATTTAAAAGGTAAACCATTTCTGATTTCACTTTGTTTTTTCACAAAAGAAAGAGCTGTGATATGCAAGAGCAGTTCAAGAACCAAATTGTTAAGGTATTGCAGCAGAGAAGGAGGAACAGATAACTGGAAGCAGTAGAGCTGTTGACCACTCTATGCTAAAACTCTCCTAAATGTGTCAGAGCAGGACTATTACAAGGTAGTGGGTTTTTCTGTGTTTTGCTTTAAACGAGCGTTCATTGTTACTGCAGCTTTGTTCTCAGGACAAGAGTGGAGGTTCATTTAGTAGAAAATTTGATTAACATACCTAGTTTTCTTACTGGCTTTTGCTACCAATTCAGTAAAATAGACACTGGATAACTGGAATTTACAACAAAATCAGAGCTCAAGCACCTTAATGTTAGAATATATGATCACAATACCCAGGAGGCTGAATTTCAACCGATTTGTAACAATTTCAGCCTTCTGAAAGACTCTGGACACTCATCTAGTATTGATATGGAAGGCCAAACTAGATTCTGAGATATATATAAATGTATATATGTATCTTGCTATCTTGTAATTACTAGATCTGTATCTATACCACCCTAAAAAAACCTAACAGTTAGCCAATCACCCAGTGGGTTATAAAACTAGATTAATCTGTTTATTAACCACTAATTAGACGAAGTTTGAAACTAAAGGATGATAGTATTCCCAAGAAAGACTGGTATTCCACTGCACACTTGACAACCAAACATTTCTGAATTTGCATTTACCCAATACCACATAAAGAGTTAAGATTTACCACTTAAAGGCTACAGACAGACAGTTCCATTGGAGTATTGGTTCTCTTGCTGTCCATCAACAGCATCCTTCACATCTTGTCTTTCAGAACATAATTTCTTAAGACAGGCAGTCTCATTTAGCATTCATCTCTACAGCATTTCCAGCATAAAAATCAAAATTTTCCACAAAGCAAAGCTAAATTATAAAGCAAGCATAAATAAACTTACTTTTCCAGCCATTTCCACTGCAAGAAACGGGAAAAATACACACTCTCCTGGTAAGCTTCAAAAGGTCTTTTGCTTAGGTATTCATGGACAATTCTAGCAGGAACATAAACAGAAAAATAAAATCCATCTTATTCTGAAAAAGGCTCCTGTTGAAGCAGGAGGTGCTATCAATCTACAGACATATATTAAAACATATTGATGAAGCTGTAGGCAGAAAAACATCACCAGTGTGCTCTACAATGGTTTTAACCTAAATGTCTCAAAAAGTGAGTGCCTGTTATAGAAAAATGTTCCTATCAAAACCCTCGTGAAGGCCAAACTACTGCTACTTATAGGAACTAGACACTTCCACCGTTGCATTTTTAATGTCTTCAAACCCTCTTAAACACCAGCTTCTCAGCAGCTATTTTATGCATGTATGCATATATGACTTTTGAAAGTATCTACAAGTTTTAACATATTCTTTGGACACTGGTAAATAAAATTTTATTTTAGGATTTGAAATTGAAGTGCAAAATGCCATACCCAAACCATGAACACCAAGTACCTTATCATTCCCTTAAAGTAACACACCAAGATGGAGGTGGGGAGGGAAATAAGTCATTCAAACTGTAGTCAGGTATTTATTAGACAGAGGAAAGGGAATGACCTACATGAGACAGTCCATCTGAGACATGTTTTATGAGGTGTTCTCACACAGCCCTTTCCATTTTATAATCTCAGCTTGTTACAAAGCATGCTATTTCTGTTGCCAGGGAGATGACCCAAGCAGTGACAAAACCTGTAGTCATCCCTCAGACGTGATCAAGCATGCCTTGAAGAACCAGAAATATTAGAAACATAAAGGCTTTAGAAAAACATGTAACACTCATAAATACATACCATCCCTCCAAGAAAAGCCTCCCCTGCTACTACTGTGTGAAATACCACTTCATGACTGCAGAACAAAACCAAGTTGTATTGTTTTGTGTTAACTATCACAAGTAATCCTCCAATCAGCCATCTTAATTCCACATAAGTGTTGGCCTCAGTTAAACTTGTTTTCAAGAACCTTAAATGTCTAACATTGTTCATAAACCTTTCAAGATTCAACTCATAACTTTATACTTTTCTGAGTACGTTCATCATGGAAGAGAGTCACTCAAAAAGTAAGAATACAATAAAGAGATAAACCATTTATCTTACAGAATTCGTGGTGGCAGACAACAGTGTGATTTTATGTAAAAGCAGCATTAAAGAAAAAGCTCTGCAAAAGTCAAACATCTCAATCACATCTGAAGGAAATTTAGTCCTTTAATAAATCTGTTCCAAGTTTCTTTCTTTACTCATTTCAGGAACTCAGTATTTCTGGATACAACAACTTCATCTTTCACTTTCCTTAGAAACACACAAATTTCTCTTGTAATTCTCAAATTTAGCATTAGGCATTTTTAACTCACCTAGTACAGTCCATGAAAAGATCCTTAGAAGGGTTCTTTTCTAGTCTTGCTTTACATTCATTTACTGTTTCCTGAGGTATTTCTGGCAAGTGTGCTGCAGACTTAAAAAAAGAAAGGATAGCAACAATGAAAACAGTTAAGTCAACAGAAAAACTAAAAGTTTTGTATTCAAAGATAAATTAAAATTTTTAATACAGGAAAAGGAAAAGAAGTTTGACTAAAGAGAATATCAAGGAAGTATTTGAGCAAATTTTTTATTTATTTCCCATTACAGAACAATTAATTGAAAGTTATTTCAGTTATTTACTATTTCAGTATCTGGGGGAACAAACTTGGCAATGAGTCAAACTTCTTTTTTTTTTCCAAAAAAAAGCAAGTAACCTCTTTGGCTTGGCAGGATGGAAAGGAGAAAGAAACACAAACACAAGCTGAGAAAATATTTCAAACCAGACCAAAGAAATCTGGGGTCTTTTGAAAAATGCATGTGACTTATGGTAGTCCCAAAGAAATTCTCAAAAAGATGTGGCAAATTTAGATTCTATCTTCTTTTAAGGCATTTTCAAGACCTTTTGTATACCATGTACAAAGCAAGAGAAGCAAAAGGAGCATCTATTAATAAAAAGCAAAGATCTAATTATGCACCCACAGAAAAGCTTCCACTGGATACCAAAAAAAACCTCTTTGATAAATGAAAAAAATCAGCTATTAATGATTACCATGGAAAACTGAAAGTAACAGAATGCTTCAGAAGAAAACAGCATTTCTTTGTGAAACTTTGTGAAAACCTGCAGCAATTCTGAAAATTTACAGCAAACTAACCAAAGCCACACAGAAGTCTAAAAGACTTCAGACTACAACACCCTTAGTTAATTTGCTTTTAAGTTTTCTTTAGGAGTCAAATGGAGAATAAATTGTAATGATAGTAGTTATAAAAGCAGAGATCAGTCCAGTTTTTTGATTTCAAGTTGATTGAGCAGAATTTTAGAAGGCAGCACACCTCTCAGAAAGACAAAATTGGGATCAATGAAGTTTGAAAGTCTATTTACTAAAACCAATGCAACCACTGAGATCTCTCTAATTATCTGACACTTACAAAGCACTCGAGAAAATCTTTCGCAGTATATTTACCCCATTAGTGAAGTATGTCTCTAAAACTTTGAGGCCACAGTCTATGCGCTTTTCATCTGAAGATACCTCATATTCTGCCTAGGGGAATGGAATTGAAAATATTATGTTCTGAGCCACATGGCATCTTTTACATAATGATAGGTAAATTTTATCATGAATAACACAATACTCCTAATATAAAAGAAACAGAAGGCTATATAGTGAAACATGTATGAAGAACAGTCCTAAGGAAAAAAACAACGCTTATGGAATTTAATCTTTAGAAAATGTACGAAACCTAACAATTAGTCTAAGTGCAATTACAGAAATTGCATCGTAGAGGTTAAACTAGATCAATTACAATAAAATAGTATTTATGTAGTATTGTAGGACAGAATGACCCAGATGGAAAATAATTGAGAGTACAATAATCAGCTTTTTCTTCACTGTACTTTCTTCCCTTCATGTATTATTCTTTGCTACAATTTTGGGTAAAACTGGGATAAAACTACTTTCTACAAGCTTAAAAATGAGATCTAAACCAAACCCTACATCATTCTTTGAAAAAATAAAACTGAGTAAATACAAATTTTGAAAGTTTTTGACTTAGTAACATCTGGTAGTGGGATGTAGAAAAAGAGAATTGTGCTACACAGTGCATTTTGCAGATAAACAACTGGCAGCTGAACAGAGCTCCAGAAGTAGCTACTTATGGAGAAACCCACAACCAACAAATCACCACACAGATACTACTACTGAAAAACTCCAAGAACTACTTACTATTAATAATTTTATGGAATAATTTAGAAGCAGACATCAGAAGTTACAACATTTAAAGACAACACAAAGTCTGGAGAAAGACGAATTAGAACAAAGCATCTCTAACAGCAACACATATTAGGTTTGTTAGCTAGGCCAACTCAATTGGAGCTTATTTCATATTTCAGTATGTAAATGCATGCACCTAGGAACAAAAGATATATGGCAGACTTCCAGATTGGAGGATTGTATCAAAGAAAAGAACAGCTGGGCATATTGGGACAACAATCTTTAGAAACCTCATTGGAAATGACAAGTAATTGATCTAATCAGAAGTTATTTACCTTTATAAGGAAAACTAGAACACTGAAAAATGACAGTTCAAGAGTCAAACACACACACACAATACTGGAAATAACAGAATCCCTGATTTCCAGTTCTGCCATTAATGACAACTAATCCTCACTGACTCACTACTAAATTATCAACATCTTTTTCTACTGAGACATTATGGTATCACCCACTACAGCACGCTACTCAAATCTATCAGTCCAAATGCAAAACATTATTTCTGCTGTTCAATTCCACAACAAAAAGTCTAATGGTCAGGAATTCTTCTGCAACTGAAAATCAACTTGAACAAGTCAAAAATGTTTATCAACCCAAAGTTCAGCAGTGTATTTAGCACCTCTGACACTAATTTAATACAAATAGTTAGGCATGCTATTTTACATGGATAGTGTAATTTAAAAGGAAGCTTGAGAAATGGCCTTTCCAAATAATTCTGTAACTTACAGGGAAGTTTGAGCTGTTACCCATTCCTTTTCATATGTGAGTAACCCTGTCCGTAGCTAGTGAAATGAGTCACTAGATTGGATAACTCTAATTCTTTACTTTAACTTCTGTCACTTACATTCAATTATTTCACAACTCTTCCTCCTGTAAAGCCAAGCTGACTCCAGACTTTTAGGTCACACCTTCCCAAGAACTGGAGCTTACCAGGCTCAGTAGTATTGGTACTACCTTGATTTTGGACTCCTGAAATAATCACACTGTAGAAATCACATTGCTTCATGTAAAAGAGTCAGAAAACTCTATTAACAAGGATGCAAGGTTTTTAAGGCTATGGCATTTCATTTTGGGAAATTTTTTTTCCAGAAGACTAAGTCTAAAATTTCTTTAACAAAAGCTAAACAGCTTCAGCTTTTGCTTCCTGTATTGCCTTACAAAGAATATCAACAAAAAAACCCCTCAACCCCCAAAAAGAACAAGCTTGCTGAAGTCCAGTGTTGAAGTCCAGTCCACAAAAGGGAATCAGGCTAACTCAGGAACCACCTGTAAGAGATGGTAGGTATTTTATCTCACACCCTTGATCAAGACAGGATGCTAATTTCAGATTCTGAGAGTCACTAAATAAAGGTTATCTTGTTTCAGTGATTCCCAAGAATAATTCTTCACCCTGATTTTTTAAATGGAAGTTAAACAACAAATAAATAAAAGTAAATTGTGAAATCATTCCTTACATCAGATTATCTCAGCTATGCCACTCTTTGTTAATTCACAGAAGTGTTGCAATCCACACAACATTATAGGTTGCATATTTCAAAACAATTCAAATTTTTCAGTTAGTGAAAAACAGTTACTTCTTAGAGACAGTTTTACCCGAAAATGACATCTGTAGAGCAAGGATGCACCTGCTTTACAGTCACGCCTAAGATTCATTCTCTTTTGTGCTGCCAAAGATTCTGCTACTCCTTATCTAAGATACGAGGACTAAAATGTGTACAGAAGTTGTAACCATTAAGGGTACATCCACAGTTGTCAGTGCATGGCACTCATTAAGGGCTCTGGTTTATATTCACTTCAGCAAGAAAGCTTCACTGTTCTGGATTTCCATTCAATCTGTTCAGTCTCCAACTGTCAATCTAGTCTCTGGAATTTGGTGCTCAAACAGCTCCTGGGAGTTAAAAAAGTGAAGCATACCTAGGGAGTAAGCCAAATTGCACACAGATTCATTGACAAATATAAATAATTCCATTTATTTGACACTCAAATTCCTTTTTAGCTGATCTAGTGTCTCAGTTTTTACTCCCACAGAGAAAGGAAGTTACAGTGAAATGGGAGGCACAGCAATAATCCCATGTACATTCCTTACACCCTGCCTCTTCCAGAGCAATCTTGCAATCCAATATCGTACTTCAGGATGCATGCAAGCAGCAGCACTACCCTGCTTCTGTCTCCTTTGGTCATTTGTTCTCTGTGTGTAAGAACAAAAATGGCTGGAATGAGAAAACCTGTTCTTTCAGCAGCAATCTCAATTGTAGATTGTATCATATTGTTCTTGGATTAACTGTGAGGGACAAAGAATCAAAAGCTCTGAGCCGTTATTCTCTCCTCTTAAGGGATGCCTGCCTAATCTTCTCATTACTCTCCCCCTCCACAAGAGGGTTTTGGACCGAAGATTTTTCGCAAAATGTAGCTGTGGGCACACTTCCTTCCTTCCCTTGTTCTTCGGCATTAGATATCAAGATGTAAATATACCAAGACCTTTTTCCCTTGGTCTCAAAAAAATTGGTTTTTCTCCTTCCATAGATGGTTCTCTAAATTTCCATCTCCATTGTATGGTTTTTAATTAGCACATGCTGTGTAGCCTAAGGCTTTCATGCAAGTAGCAACATTTTAAAGTATATGTTTATAACATTTTGAAGCCTGAGTATAGCAAGTAATATTCATAATACAGACATCTTTTCAGGCTCATACCAAGCAGCATGTCTTCCTAAAATTGCTTCACTCTCTCCCATCACGACCATTTCTGTAGCTCTGACTATACCAAGATGGCAGAGACTTTATAATAAACACTAAACATTTTCTTTTAAGTAGCAGAGACAGTTTTTTGACATCCATCAGAAGTTACAGCTTTACAGTCAGCAAAGACTAGACCACACTGCATTTTCAAGTACACAGCATTAGGAAACAGACGTGTATAGAGATAATTAATAAAATGGTTTTGTCTTAACCACAGCAGGCAGCTAAGCCCCACACAGGCACTTACTTCCCCCCACTAAAAACCAGAAGGTCAGAAGTGAGAAATCTTACCATTTGAAATAAAGACAGTTTGATGAAGCTGCAGTTACAAGCAAAGCAAAGTAAGAAATTAATTAATTTCTTCCCATTGGTAGGGAGATATTTGGCCATTTCCAGGAAAGCAGGGCTTCATTCTCATGGATAACACCTAGCTGGCAAATTATAACTTTCCCCCTTCCTCTTTCTTTCCCCCAGCTTTTATTACTGAGCACAGCACCATATGGTATGGGATATCCCTTGGGTTAGCTGTCCTGGCTGTGTCTGCTCTGAACTTCTTGCACACCATCAGCCTCCTCACTTTTAGGGCATCATGAGGAGCACAAAGACTTTGACACTGTGTAATCACTATTCAGCAAGAACTTAAACATCCTTGTTATCAACATTATCTTGGTCTAAAATCCAAAATACAGCACAAAATGAGCTACAATGAAGAAAATTAACTCCATCCCAGCAAAACCAACACAAAAATAAAATATTTATATACAAGAATATATAAGCAACTGCCTACTATAGCCATAATCCATTTCTCACTGCTTACCACTGCATCCAGAAATTCAATGCATCTTTTCAAATCTGGTCTGGAATCACAGAACTGTCTGAAGAGAAGTCTTCCTATGGGCTGTTTATCACAAAGCTGGTTATAGTCTCTTTCTGGGAAAAAATAATATATAAATATCTGTATTTATTTTTATAGTAGGATAATCATTACTCCCATCTGAGGTCAGAAAAACATCACTAAAACATGAAGATTTTACATTAACATATTTATCAAAGATACCATAAATATGCAATGATGCCAAAGAATAGTGAAACACTCTTCAGTCACATTTGTGTTCTATTGACTATCCCATTTACTAAAAACACACTGAATTATGTGTTTAAGGTTAATTTAGGTTAGGGTGCAGAAAGCAACCACACTGTGAAACAGTAATACCAAAGCAAACAAGATTGTTTGGAAAGAACGAATACAAAAGGTTAAAAGATCTATTAGAAGACACTAAGGAAAAAGGTAAAATATATTAGCATCAATTTAAAATGAGAGTCCTTTTTCTAATTCAAAGTTTTGTAAATCTATTCTTTAGGAACAGTTTCCTTTAACAAACAAGGAGCTGTGATACATTGTTTAATCCTCTAATAAATTTTATTTTCTCCTAAGTTCTCCATCATATTAGAAGTGCAATAGTTTTAATTTTTTGTTATTTAGCATTTAGAAGCAAGACAGAGTCCTTTCCATTAACAGCACCAAACTGTTACCCTTCTCATTCAAAGGAGAGGATTTACAGGACACTCACCGATGGAGCACCGAATACCCTCACAGTGACTGACAGGGGGCAACTTCAGCATCTCTTTCCATTTTTTACTACGCCCACTCCGTTTGCCTATAAGAAAATATGAATAAAATTGAGAAAAATTGAACGTAACATTAACAGCATAAACCTAGGTCAGTTCTACACAGATGTGTCAGACTACTTTTCATGCCTAGAAAGAAATCCATCTACAATGATATCCAAACCAATAACAAATGTGATACAGAAGAACTTTTATGCATTTTTTTCATGCTTCATGTAAAGTCTTTTCCAAGACAAATATTTCACATTTTGGCTGTGTATGTAGACTGTCTCTGCAGGGAAAAGACAAATATCTAGGTATTTTGAAAATCACAAACAAAACTGGAACATCAAAGATGAAACAAAAAAAAATTTTTGAGAATTATCTCTCAACCGTGGTAAAGAATGGAAGAAAATAAAGTTGAGTAACAAAATACCAAGAACAAAGTTCTTAAATACATTTTTGGATAATAAAATTGTACATAAATATTCTCTCTTTAAGGGCAGTAATAGTAATAACAGTAGACCCCACTAATAAATGAGAGGGCATAGCTCTAATACACACTGTTTACTCTAGACCACACAAGGATACCAGGAAGAACTTAGCTGTTGTAAAATTTAGATATTTTCAACGCTTCAGATTTCACAGCACTATTGAATTAGCATTGATTAAAAAAAACTACCACAGTATTTTTCTCTGTTTCTAAAAAAACATATCTGTGCTACATTTTCTATGTTACATTGGACTTTCAGCACATTACCTTGGCCAATTTCATTTACAGAAGATATGCATATTTTCCAAAAAAGCAGAGATAGACAGGAACATATACACACATTTTCAGATCCAAAATATTTTAAAAGATTTTACTAAGTGATATGATCAGATGCATTTCCACATGACAGAGCAGCAGCAAATCTGCACAGAAGCTTTCTCACCGTACCAAAGCAGTACGTACTGCTAACCACAATGGGAGAAAAAGGAAGGGAGTTACCCAATGTAATGTGAATAGAAACTAAGCAGCAAAGGGTACCAAACCCTTTCAGAATTAAATCATTAGGGTGAAAGGAACTAACATCTTCAGAATAACAAAATACCTATTTTTTTAAAGACCCTCTTTAACATACAGCTTCTTGAGCCATTCCACCAACAGAGTTAGACCAGCCCCAGCTTAGTGTACCTTAGCTCATACCAAATTTACATGATCCTTGCTAACAGGAAAATTGACTTTGTACTGTGCTGCTGCAACAAAACATGCTCAACTCTAATATCCCTAGAAAGATAAAACAATAAGGAATAAAACACCTATAAATGTTGGCTTGTGGACATTCTTTGAACCGACACCTACTCTCTAAATAAACCCAAACTTCTTCTGCACTTCATTTTCCAATAATCACTTTGCAGATCTTTTGCCTTCCATAAAGTTTCAGAACACAAAATATGGAACCTACTTCCCATGCCATATTTCAAGCAGTACCAAAACTAATAAATTAGTATTTAGAGTATTTAGTATTAGAGGCTGTAAATACCAGCATCATTAAAACAACCTGTTTCTATGTTAGCAAAATATTTTTGATCTTTAAAAAGAAGTTGAATATATGCTTAAAGAAAATCAAATTTCACAAAGCATAGAGCCCTTCTAAGAGAACTGAACACAAAGAAAATCAAGGAATATTTACATTGATAGCCTACACATATATACTGAATAACAAGGCTTGGGTATAGATTATGTGATCATGAAAAATAACAGAAGTGTCAGGTTTAGCCATGTAACTGAAACATACACTAAGCTGCAAGGTCCACAGAATTTAAATTTCTTCTATTAGAAACTGCCCAGAAAGACTCAACTGTGCATGACACTATGCAATCAGTACTGATCAAGAATGATAAACTGACCTCAAATTCATATCACAATGCTGTTTGGAAAATATAAAATGAACTGTGATATATATCAAGAATACCATGTTCTGAAGCACTGTCAGAGGAAAAACCCATCCCATCCCCATCCAAAAAAAAGGAGAGGATCACTAATGCATTTTACTTCAAGTCCAACACAAAAAGTGATGTATTTTGCCCAATATTTGGCCAGTAACTTACGATGTGACCATTATGAACTTCATTTTACAAAAAGAGAACACATGCTAGAATGCAACTGAATTCACCATCCTACAGAAGTCAATAAAGGCTACATATAAGTTATTAATGATACACAAGAATCAGTGGTTTAGCAGTATCCACTAAATCAACGTGCTCTCACTTTTCTCTGAACTGAATGTTCTTGTATTTACAGCAAATGCACTGTAAAAGTCTGTAGGTCCCAGTAATGTAAAGAGCCATTTCTGGTAAAAGTTATGGCAGGAGGCCAATTTGTTTGTCATGTTATTCCTTAATTGCAAAATCCTTTTCCATTTCTGAGGCAGTTTAAAAGAAGTATCAAATCAAATTATAACAATTGTGGTTTGAAAGTGTCTTAATATTGATTTCAGAGCTTCTATTCTGAATCTCATTCTAAAACACTTCAGATAAAACTCTTCTACCAACAGAAGAGCCAGAAGCCATTAGGTTAAGGTGCTTTCTGGTTGACCTCTGTGGCTCAGATGAGTTACTGCTTTTGCCTCCTTCAGATGGAATCAGGACCAAGAGCAATGTCCAGCTTGAAGCAACGCATCTTGCACGAAGAGAAGGGTGGATGCAGCAATACACCATTACAGTGAGGAGAAACTTCAATTACATTTTCAGGTACACAAGAACCTTACCTTTTCCTACCCCACCAATTACTTCTTAGAGTTACAATTTCAACATTTAACTCTTTTCCTATTTTTGCATCTTAAAAAGATACATACTAAATTCAGTTAGATCACTGCACTAGCATATGGTATAGGCAAAACATTTAGATGTTTTATTTCAACTCTTTTTTAATCTTCAAAGAAATATTTGAAAAATTTATGTAAGGCAATGCAATTGGCTTATTCATCAGTAAAACCACAACTAATTGCAAAATATGAAATTGCTGTGGCTGCAAACTATGTCAAGAAATAAGAATATGTTTTAAGTCCTCAGATGCAGTTCTCAGAGCCACAGAGATCTTCCTTGCAGATTTGATCTGGAGACTGACTCTCATTTCAGTGAGCACGATGCTCACTAAACATTATTAAGTCCGTTTTCCTTGAGGTAGAAGAATTTGGATTCTGTCATGCAGAATCCTACTTTACTGGCTACTACACTGACACTGAGATTCTGGCATGGAGTTTTTTGGGGACCTCTGTGCCTCAGCTTTCCTGTCTGTGCGGGGCAAGCACTGTGTATCTGAGGCTAAGAAGCACTCGGAAGCTGAGCAGCGCACAGCTCTGTAGCATTGGTATGCACGATTGCTACAACTTCATTCTTGCAAAACTGATTCCACAAACCAGATTGTCAGATACCAGCTGAGAAATTCATACTAGACCACACCCAGATAAGCTTTGAAAGCCTAAGACTGCAACAAGATGGCAACCTACAACATGCCTTTAGTGTACAAATCAAATCATTTGGTTCAAGGAAAAATGCAAAACAACTGATGTAGGAGCTCTACATCATCTACACTTAGACACATGAAATTAAGCTGAGTACATACACTGTTTTAAAATATTTCCCACAGAAGAGGCAATTGCAGGCAAGTTTCCTAATAGATTTAATACTCACATGAATTCAAAATCTTCTAGTTCCAGACACATTTTCCTTCATACTACTCACAAAAAGGATTAAAACCTTCCACTAAAAAAAAATCAAAACATTCCTGTTTAACCATGGTCTTATGCTATACATACATCTATAAACACTGCCCATTGAGTAACAAATTTCCATTTTATGCCCCTGTTGGGCAAGATCCACCTTCAAGACACAAAACAGTGTGCAATTAATACTACATCTCCTCAGATCAGACCATAACACTGGAATAGCACCAAGTTCAGACTAGAAGACAAGCTCATACCATCACTCAGGGAAGGCTGTCATGCTTCCAGGTCTGGGGACAGCTCATAAGGTACTGCTGTGGGGGTTCACAACAAGCTAATCCATTCTGCAGGTCAGATGTATTTTTTGTATCAAGTTGTATTTTGACAAAATACAAGCTTGTATCAACTCAACCCTGGGCGCAGCTTAACAACTACATTAAACAGAGTGGCAACACTTTTCTATGGAGAAAGGTTTTGGGCTTTTTCCCCAGAGATACGATAAATACAAACTGTTCTTAGTAAACTCATGAGAATCACCTGGCTGAAAATTCAGGTTTTGGCACAAGGTTAGCACCTAACTCACCAGCATTACAAAGGCCAAGGTACTTCTGAATGCAAACAGAAGCAAAAATGCAAGTAGTACAATAAATAAACAAAAGATATCTATAGATTACAGATTGTTACTGCATTTATAAGATAATAGTCCCCACACTCCTGGATTCAAGTACATGGAGTTGGACTTCAGCAAGGTAATACTCAAGTGCTCTTGCTCATCTGACTGTCAAAGCAGTAACACTGCAGCAGTTAAAAGCCCAGCTCTCTACGTGAACATTCGTTTGTTTATGTGCACAATCATTTATTGTTCCCACAGCTATAACCACTCGAACAACTGGTTCTTCACATGGGCTCTCTATCCAGCCCCGGTGATCATGTGCACATGTAGGAATGCCAGTGCACACACTGTGCCCAGCCTCTGCACTTCACCAATTAAGTGTGGAATGGAAAGCTTGTATCAACTCAACTAAATGTAACTGATCTGAACTAAAATTGATTTATCTGTTTTTGCAAACATTGTAACACCTCTGTATACATTTTGAGACATCTATAACCAGCCAATGAACAGGGTTTACAAGGGGAAAAAAACCACTAAGAACGCTGCAATTTTACAGTCAACAAACAAGCACGACAGTACACTTTTTAGAATGATAGTACACTAAGAATGCAACAGATATTAAAGAAGTAAAATTGATTTAAGCTGATTGTGAAATTTGTAATTGCCACATTTAAAATAAGCAAAGCAGCAGCATGTATCAATTACTAGACCTCTAGTGTTGTGTTTA